CGCGTAAGTGGGGAGGCGATCAATGGTGGGGACAACGAGGGCTACAGAAAAAGAGGCCCTGTAATGCCCAAAAGGGGGCCTTTACGGCCCGGAAAGTGCACCTCTCTTCCCCCCCATGTATCACCCCCCCATAAAGCGATGCCCAAGCAGCAGTCCTCGAGCACGGTGGGGGCGTTGGTTGAGGACTGCGCCAGTCAGGCTCCAGACCTTGGGGAATTCTTTGTCTGATGAGGGCGGCAGTGATTTGCATGGCCAATTCACGATTGGAGTTCCACTGGCTGTCAGACCCTGGATTCCTTTTCACATGATTCCTTATTGAATACCCTCATCGTGCAGGGGTGTTGAGGAGCGATCGCCGCATGCATGTCTTCATGTTTGCCATAGCGTCGCACGCAGTATTGTGTCACTCGTGCACTTGCTGTGTTCGCATACCGCTGCTACCTTCATGCGAGTCTTGGCGAGCCCCAGCAGGGGCGAAACGTTGACACGCTTACCGAACAAAAAGCACAGGCTTCAGAGCGCCATACGAGTCAGGTGTGCGGAGAGATGCGTTCTGGTGGCTCTTGGAGGCCCTCTCGCCTCGGGATGCCTTCCAGCAGCTGCGCCTCGCCGAAAGCGCCCCAGGGGAGCCCACGTCGCCCCGAGCGGCCCTCACGGACCCCGAACTAGGGCGCCCGGAAGACACTGGGTGCCAAGGGGGCTCGGAGGCCGAGCGCAGGGCTCGAGGCTACGTGGTTGCACGGCGCCGGCGGTGAGCTGTCGGCGGCGCGGAGAGGAAGTCCGACGGACCTGCGAGGGGGGAAGCCTCCCCACCCCCTCCCAGACTCGGCCTCAGCCCAGTCTGGCCCCCTCATCCATTGTCTCCTCCTCCTCCTCCTCCTCCGCCTCCGCCTCCTCCTCCTCCTCTTCCTTCGCCCCCCAATCACTTCCTCCCCGTCATCCCGTTCCTCATCCACACCATCCTCCTGCAGGAGGAGGAGAAGGCGGAGGAGGAGGAGGAGGAGGATCCCCACTGGGCATCGGCCTTCTCACGCAAGGCATGTCCGAGCTAGCCGAGGCAGATGCCGACCCAGGGATGATCCGAGGGGGCCCGCGATCGGGTGCCGATACCCCCCGCCGTCTGGGCCTCTCCCTTCCGAGCGGTCGCCCTGAATGCAGTTCCTCGCCGTCCCTTCCCTTCCCTTCCCTCCCGTCACCTCCCGCAGGATGGATGGAGGAGGGGGAGGAGGAGGAGGAGGAGGAGGAGGAGGAGGAGGAGGAGGAGAAGGAGGAGGAGAAGGAGGAGGTGTTGGTTTTCCTCCCTCCCTCCTCTCCCCCCCTCCAGAAAAGGTCCGAGCTCTGGCGTGGGCTCAGCGGCTCCCGCGGGCAGCGTGCGGGCCGCGCTGTTCGCGGCCGTGCGCGCGCGCCAGCGGAATCAAGGGGACGCCAGACGGCGCTGCGCAGCAGTTGGAGGAGGAAGAGGAGGAGGAGGAGGAGGAGGAGGAGGAGGAGGAAGAGGAGGAGGAGGAGGAGGCGGAGGAGGAGGAGGAGGAGGACCAGAGTAAAGCCACGATACATCAACGATACTGCAGTGCACCCTCCCATCCCGGGCACCCTCCCCAGAAGTCCCCGCAGGCGCTCTTCCTCACCGCGCAGAGCGCCCCCTTGACAGAAAAGGGCCCCGTGGGCCCGCGATTCAGGCGTCAGCTCCGTTCTGTGAGGAACGGCCCTCCATTCATCGCGCTATACTGAATGCGGCAGGGTGTGATCATAAAGTTCAAAGTAGTGCCCAGATATAGGCCCGCTTTGAGAAGGAACCGCCATCTGTCCATGCATCAGTTGGATGTGGAGCTATGGTCCTGCAATCGAGCACCGTCTCAAGCGAGAGCCCCATGTTTAAAAGAAACCGCCATCCATCAGTGTAACAGGTGGAAGTGCTCGAGAAGTACGTGCGCGGCGTCATGGGCAGATCCCAGCTTCGAATAAGTTCCAGGGCTCAGAGGTAATTCCCAAATTTGATATTTGGGTGTTGCGAGATTCCAGAACGCTCCGCAGGGGGACCCCACCTACTTCTCAAAGGATGTGGTTGACGCTGCCGGAAAGCACGCCTGTAGCAAGGATTGTGGCAGCTCGTCGCATTAGATTTTACCGAGCCACCGAGGGTTTTTGCGGCCAGAGCAGTGCCCACCTCCTCCGCCTCACCATTATCTTCTTCATCCTCCCTGTTCCTTCCCCTCCTCCTCCCCCCTCCTCCGCCCATCCCTGCTCTATTCTTCTCCTCCTCCTCCTCCTCCTCCTCCTCCTCCTCCTCCTCCTCCTCCTACTCCTCCTGCTCCTCCTCCTCCTCCTCCTCCCTCATTCTCCTCCTCCTCCTCCTCCTCCTCCTCCTCTTCCTCCTCCCCCTCCCCCTCCCCCTCCCCCGCCCCATCCTCCTCTTCCGCCACCCACTCCTCGCTCCCACCTCGCATCCACGGTGCGAACAGCGTGCCAGGCAGCGTCTCTGGAGCGGGCCACATCCCAGAGATTGTCCTCGTCGCCGCCCTAGCCCATACTCGTTTTCTATTGCAGTTGCGCGTTGTGTGGCGACGAGTCTTTTCTGTCGTCTCGTCGTCGTCATCGTCGCCGTCGCCGTGGTGGTCTCTTTGAGGACTTGGCCCCCACGTGCGGGCCTGGCCACTGGTCGGAGTCAGAGTCAGAGTCAGAGTCAGAGTCCTCGTCATCGGCATGCTCTTCGTTCTCGTCCATATCCCTTCTCCGCATTCTCCTCCTCCTCCTCCTCACCATCACCACCAGCATCCCGCCGCCCTCCTCTTCATCCGCCCTCCTCGGAACATCCCCCGACCTTGTCTGCCTTCTGGCTTCACCGTTGCGCAAAACTTGAGTAGAGTCAGGCGCAGACTCGGCTATCCTTCAACAAGCTCCACGGCTTGCCCATCCCTGCTGCGCACAGGGTCATCCTCGCGGAGGGGGGCGGTGACAGCTGCGTGTTGCTTTCGTCCACCTCGTCGTTGTCCTCCTCCCCCTCCTCTTCCTCCTTCATGGCGGAAGATCGAGAAGACGGGGGCGAGAGTTCCAGAACGGCACGTATTGCATTGAGTTGAGCGAAGGCCCAAATCTTATGCAGTTGCGGTCAGCGCATGAGGTGGCACTCCTCGGGCACTCTCCGTGTGGTGTACGGCTGCGCCCCCCGCTTCTGGGAGCTAGCAGGGCGCTAAGGGGGGGGGGAGTGCCAGCGTTTTGTAATCACGAGAAGGCTCTAGGGAAGGAGGAAAGACACGGCAAGGATACAGCAGGAAGGGGGGAGGAGGCAAGGGGGAAGGATGAGTGAGGAAGGAGAAACGAAGGAGGGGGGAGATAAAGAAACAGACGAAGGAAGGGGACGGAGGAGGAGCCGAGAGCGACGCAACAAGCGAAATATTGAGTGGCTTGCGGCCCATCGCGTTGGAGTGCCTGGGTTATTGGCGACATACCTCTTGAATGTCTCGTGGGGTCTCTTGGGACGCAGCTCGGGAGCCTCTTGGAGGCCTCTTAAGACTTCTTGGGGGTCTCTTGGGCCTTCTTGGGGACCATCCTGGAACTAAAGGGCTCCTGTGGCCAGTTCGTGCTCCACCCTCCAGGGCCTAGAACCACGAGAGAACACGAGGCGTTTCAATCATGCTTTGGCCCTGGAAAGGTCGCGCGGGGCGCCCCCAAGAGCGCCCCTGCCCGTCTGAAGGGGCCAGAATACAAAGCACTCAGTGCCTACGGCACGGTGACGGGTTTCATCGTGCAGGGCGCCGCCTCACCATGTGGCGACCTCCGTGCCAGACCGTCGCATCAGACAAGGCGTCCGCATGGACCGCGGCGCTACTTCTAACTCGACGAGTTCTGAAAGTTGAGTCTCAGTGTCTCGATGTCCTCTGCCGGGCACCTGCCGATGTCGCAGGAGCAGGAGGGAGAGGGAGGGAGAGAGGGAGGGGAATTGTTCTGCAGCGCGGCCACAGTCTGCCAGCGGCGTCGAAAACCCCAATCCCAGAAAAGTTCAGTGGGCGGCGATGCGCGGCTGGAATCTCGGAAGGCGGAGGAGGAGGAGGAGGAGGAGGAGGAGGAGGAGGAGGAGGAGGAGGAGGAGCGGAGGAGGAGGAGGAGGAGGAGGAGGAGGGAGGAGGAGGAGGAGGAGGAGAGGAGGAGGAGGAAGGAGGAGGAGGAGGAGGAGGAGGAGGAGAGCCCGCTCACGGGCCCCGGCCACAGACCAGAGCACAGCGGTGGCCGCCGGAAGCCCTGGCGGGTCCAAAGCGTTCTGCAGGGAGGAATGGGAGGGAGGCGGAGAGGGAGGGAGGGAGGGAGGGAGGGAGGGAGGGAGGGAGGAAGGGAGGGAGGGAGGGAGGGAGGGAGCGAGGGAGGGAGGGAGGGAGGAAGGGAGGGAGGTGGAGAGGGAGGGAGGGAGGGAGGGAGGGCAGGAAGCAGGAAGCAGGGAGCGAGGGAGGAAGGATTGCAATGCTTACAGCCACTGCGCAGCGATATTGTATACTCCGAAACTCCAACACGACCTCGAGGCTTCGCTCGGTCGAAGTGTGACACCAAAACCACGCTCACCATAGTTCATGATTCATGAGAAGCGGGACAACATGCGACGCAGTGCTCAGATCATGGAAAGCGAGCGCCGTCTCTCACAAGGCGATGCTACATCCATTCAGACAAAGGCAAACCCTGCGCAACGAATGCCAACTCGCGAGAAAATCATTTGCGGGCATTCACTGAACGGCCTTTGGGCATGATTGGGTCGCGGTGGTGACAATCCCTGCGACCATCCCGTCACTTGGGCCAGTGCAGCGCTCACATCCGTATCGAGGAGAACACTTCCATCAGCTGTCCGACCAGCTGCGACTCGTGCTGCAGTGGCGGGGCACCCGTCCAGACTCGCCGCTAGCCAGCGCCGCCGTTACAGAGCTAGATACCGACAAATCTCGTGAGCCCATGCCCCTCCTCCCCGAACGATTTCGCGAGCCTCGTCCACGGCGCTCGCGGGAAGTCCGACGGACATGGACGGCAACTCTTTCACGCCCTCCTCCCTCTTCAGAACCTGATCCTCCATCTCCCCCCCGCCAAAGGTATGGGCTGAACAGGGAAGCGGCATGGGCGCCACCGTGCATCTGGAGGAACAGGCAGCAGCGACGCCGCCGGCTCCGCGGTCGCGGCTTCCGCAGGGGCGGGGACCGGTGGACGATGGATCGCCGCGTGCCGGGGATGTGCCGGCTACCGACAGTCCGCGGCCAGCGCTGCTGCCAGCGCCGCGCCGACGCGGGCGGGGCGACACCCCCGATGCCCCACGTGCCCCGAAGGCCCTCCAAAGCACCTGCGTGGCGCGAGCGTGGGCTCTCTCGCTGCCTGGGCGCGCCGTTCAGCTGCCAGCGACGACGACGACGACGACGAGGAGGAGGAGGAGGAGGAGGAGGAGGAGGAGGGCGCGGCAGGAGAGAGGGAGAGGCGCAGGAGGCGGAGGAGGAGGAGGAGGAGGAGGAGGAGGAGGAGGCAGCAGCCGGAGCAGCTCGACAGAGCGGCGCCGTGGCTCCCGGCGCCGCGGGAGGGGAGAAGGAAGGAGCAGCAGGAGCGAGCGGATCGGCAGGAGCAGTAGCAGCAGGAGAGCAGCAAGAGAGCTGCAGGAGCGGCAGGAGTCCAGCAGGAGGCCAGCAGGAGGCCAGCAGCAGCAGCAGCAGGGAGCCTTACCCTGCAGCGTGTTGCTGCCACACGCCCGCGCTCTTGACCAGCACGTTCTGCGAATAGTTGCGGCCACGATCGATGAGTCGGTCGAGGCCCTCACCGAGGAGGAGGTCGATACGGGACGGGAAAACGACCACAGCCACTGCTTTTCTTTTGTTGCCGCCTTCCAGCCAGCAGAAACAAAGCAGTGGGTGTGGTCATTTTCGTTAAGCTTGGCACCAGGGAAATGACCACAACCACTGCTTATTTTTCGGCCGGCTGGAAGGCGGCGCAAATAAGATGCAGTGGCTGTGGTCATTTTCCCGTCCCGCAGTCGAGCAGGTGGGGCTGCCGGTGCGCTTTGCTGGCCTGGGGGTCGACATGCCGTCGCACAGCGTTCCCCTATAGCGCGCGCGGCCCGGCCGGTCGAGGGCGGGCCTGCCGCCAGGGCGGCTGTCGCTTCCTGGGCGGCGCTGGAGTCCGGCGGCGCCGCGGCGCCCGAAGAGTGTGTCGGGGGTGGACAGACCTCCTACCCTGACACGTCGATTGGTGAATTGGCCGTTCTCGGTTCGCGAGAGGGCGTCGCGGCCGTCATTGTTGCGGGTCCAGGTCCGTCGGTTTCGGCCCCAGGTCGTTTTCTTTAAGGGGAGGTTTACTAAAGGGAGGTTTGTCCACCGCCGAGAAGAGTGTGGGCGGTGGAACGGCGTCGACGCTGCTGTCGCGGAGGGCGTCCAGGATCTGCTCCGGGAGCGCGGGGTCAGCTCGCTCTCGAGGCGCGGCCGGCCCTGCGCGCTGGCTGGCGCTGCGGTGGCCGATTCCCTCCGCCCAGCGGCTCCGGAGCGGCATCTCCTCGGTGCCTACTTGCACCACTCTGCACGCATCCGGTATCTCGCCAAGCTGGATCGTGCCAGGCCCAGGGACCAGACACGTCTCCTGAGTGCTGCGGGGCCGACCGCCGGCGCTGCCCTCGTCTCTGAGCTGGGCATCCTGGGCGTAGCGGTCAACGACAGAGCATGGACGCAGGCAGTACGCTTCCGTCCTGGCCGGTCTGGTAGCCTCGCGCCTGGCACGACTTGTCTGTGAAGGCGTCCACCAGCTAGACCTGCGGGGAGCTGCTGGACAAGCACGGCGACCACGCCGCGCAGTGCGAGTGCGGCCCCTTCCGGAACCTCCCGCACGAGAGCATTGCGGATGTGTTCGCGGACATCATGGCCGAGACCGGTGGGTTGGTCCGCCGGGACGTGTTCGTCCCGGACTTCTCCCAGTAGGCCTCCGAGGCATGGCTGGACGTGTGGTGCCATGGAGTTCCTGAGCTCCCAGACTGCTTGGTGGACTTCACCATTCGCCACCCAATGGCGCACCGGTACCGGCCGACAGCTCCTCGGGCAGCCGGCAGCACCGCGCGGGCCGCGGAGGTGGCGAAGGCCGACTCGACAGCTACCCACCTGCTCGCGGCCGCAGCGTGTGGCCGGCGGCGCACGAGACCTCTTGGGGCGGCTCGGAGCGAGCGGGCGGAGGCCCTCCTCGCCCAGGTGCGCTGCCGCGGTCACCCGGCGTGCGTAACCGCAGGTTTCCCGGCTGCCTGGCAACCGCCTGCACCGGTGGCGCGCGCAGCTGGGCGCGGCGCTGAGGAGGAGGAGGGGGAGGAGGGGGAGGAGGAGGGGGAGGTATTAAGCCTTGGGCACCTGGGGGGAGAGGGGGAGGGGGAGGAGGGTGGAGAGAGGAGGAGAGGAGGAGGAGGATGATGAAGGAGGAACAGAGGGGGAGGAGGATGGAGTGGTACAGGGAGGAGGAGTGCCCGGCCTGGCCGCGCAGCTGATCTCTGCCCGGAGCGGCTTTTGCCAGGCCGCGCGGGGGCGGCGGGCGCCGTTCCGCGGACCGGCGGTTCCTTGGAGGCGCGCGGGGCATCTTGAGGGCCAGTGTGTTCCAGCCGTGGTGCAGCACTCATCTCAGGAAGGGAAAAAGCACACAGACACAATTCATCGCCGATTCCCCAGAAGATATTGAAAACTATGGGAATTGGGCGGGAAGACAAAAAAAACAGAAAATGTTGGACAACAGTGGGAATCTTTGTATTTGAGTGTATTTATTTGTGTGTGTCCCCGGGCCCCTTCATCATCCTCCGGACGAGCGCAAGCAGCAGCAGCAGCAGCAGCAGCAGCAGGACCAGGAGGAGCAGCGAGGGGATGCAGGGATGGGCCCCCCTGGGCGCGCGCGCGCGCGGGGCGGAGGGGCCAGGACCAGAGCTGCGCCAAGTTCGCTCAGAAGCTGACGGCCACGCTCCCCGCCTCTCACCCGCGCACGTTGCGCTTGGACCAGAGGAGGCGGAGGAGGGGGAGGAGGAGGAGGAAGAGGAGGAGGAGGGGGATGAGGAGGAGGACGAGGAGGAGGAGGAGGAGAACGAGAACGACAAGGAGGAGGAGGAGGAGGAGGAGGAGGAGGAGGAGAACGAGGAGGAGTGAAGACCAGTGCAAACCCAAGACGCACCAACGATGTTGCAATGAAGTTTCCCTTCAAGTTCCCTCTTCAAATGTCCCTATCGGAAATTTGGTCTTTATCACGGGAAGTGGCCCATCAATTGGTTGAAAAGGCTGCAAATTGTGGAGGCGAATTCGCGCGGCGCTGAGGCGAGAGCCACATGTTGAAAATCACCCACCATCCGTACGTGAAAGCGCTGCAAATGTTTGCGCCGAATGCGCGCGGCACTAAGGCGAGAGCAACCATATAAGAGCATCCCCCTCCATCCGTGAAGTCGTTGCGAAGTTTACGACGACTGCGCGCAGCGCCAAGGCGAGAGTCACATTTT